TGGGATAAAATTGGGGTTATATTGGGATAAGCAAAAAAGATTGGAAACTACTATTTAGGGTTTAGGCGGTTTAGGGTCCACTTGAGGCTCAGGGTTGGGAATTTGAGGTCAAGGTTTACAGCTAAGTTTGCTGAAGCCATTCTAAACAAATCCAAGGGAGTAGCAACCCCACAACTCCTGCAGAAAGGCCCGGAACTCCCCAAAGCGTAAGCATAACCAGGTAAATCACATCCCATCCCATCCTGAACGTAGGTCTTTCTCAAGATGAAGGTCCACATGTCCACATCAGTGCCACAAAAAATCATAATAGCCCCTTTCAAAGATTGAGAAGCATCAATGGATTGAGTCCCTACAACATTGAACAAATCGAACCCATCAGAATGAGCCGGGCTATCTCTACCCAAAAAACCCTGTAACGCCACCAGCATCATGAGGATCAACTGGGCCGGCTCTTCCCCCAGAACCCCCAGCACATCCAGCATCATCAACTATCTCTACCCCAAACTCACCAACACCGCCAGCATCATGAGCATCAAAGGAACTAGCTCTTCCCAAAATACCCCCATCCAAGGCAGCATCATGAGCATCAGCTGGGCTGGCTCTTCCCCAAGAACCCCCCACCCGGCCAGCATCATCAGCATTAGCTGGGCTATCTCTACGCCAAGACCACCAACCCGGCCAGCATCATCAAATTCATCAGCATCAGCTGAACTAGCTCTTCCCCAAAACCCCGGCCAGCGTCATCAGAAGCCTGTCAAGACCACCAGCATCATGATCATCACCTGGGCTATCCCTACTCCAAAACCCCCAACCCCGCCAGCATCATGAGCATCTGCTGGGCTGCCAGGAAGAATCACAAGCATCCCAATACCGTATACATCCTGAGCGCAAAACCGTGAACCCCAGGGCCTCAAACCTTGAACAATATACCCAAAAACCAGAACCATAAGCCCTGAACCCTGACGATCCCAAACCCACAATCTTAAGCAACAAAGCCCGCTGGGCGTCCAGGCCCTTTGCCCCTGACACGTGACGCTAGCAGCACCCTGGTGGATGAGGAACTCAGTCCAGCGACGCTGCGTGGGCACGGATTCTATTATTCTACAAACAGTTAAACAGGGTCCTTTGGGTTGCGAGTTCTGTTTGCAGAGCCTTCCATCTGCCCAGAATGTAGCGGTCTAGCATCAGGGTTGAGGCTGAAGGTCGAAGGTTCACAGTTGAGGGGAATTGATGCCATTTTTGAAGCTCACTACAAGTCCACCTACGATGGAAGTGGACGGGTGGCAAAAGTTGTAGCTTCATCCGTGGAACTATGGTCCCTACTAACTACTGCAACTGTCTGTGTTGTCGCGGTAACGGTAACATCGTTTCCTGGGCTCCACTTATTTCCAATTGCTGCTCAAATAATGCATCCTGGCTCTTGCCCAAACCAGCATACAGCCATGAGCAACGGTCAATGGCTGATTCAATGCCCCTTCCTGCGGAATTGCATGGCGCCGTTGGCCGGGCTACCAAATTCACAGGCTCTTGGTTTTGTGGTTCCTCTTACTGTCTTCAGATCAGGGTCCGCGCTTCCTGGAGTAACATGGGACGTTCCAAACACTCAATGCGAAGCTCGTCTGGAAAAGGTCTGTCCTATAGGAAAGTGAAGCCAGAGCAGCTGAGGACTTCACCAACGAGTCCTGCGCAATGCCTTCTTTGCAAAGGACCTGCGATGAAGGGTTGCAGGCTTGAGGAGTTCAGGGTACTATGACTGACAACAAAACATGCATGAGCTCTAGAACTGTATGCCCTGGGACCCTTGGTGTTCTAGTATACTAAAATCATGTAGAATTTTGAGTATAAGTGCAGGTTCAAAGCCTAAAGACGGGTTTCCTTCTGCTTCGGCTTCCGCTGTTGCATATCACCACCCGCAACATGCATCCACTTGACCTTCATTGAAACCTTTTGTCTACTTACATCATCAAACTTGTCGATTTTCTTTGCTGTTGCAAAGCCATAGTCTTCCAGTCTTCCACTCTGCAGAACGCTATCGAGGGTTTCAAGGAGAGAAAGCACCGATTCTGAAAAGCTTTATCTGCAAGGCACGTGAGGAGTGCAAGGACTATGGCTTTGGGCCGGAATGCTTATGCCACAAGGCATGCTGTGCCTGTCCGGTGAGGAAAAGCTTGTCCTCGTCGGCTGCATTGGCAGTCGCTTCTTTTGCAGCGGACGTGTCTTTCTAATCGTGAAGCCGAAAATACACCGCCATACTGATGCCGAAGCTGTGCACGCTACCATGACTTCGTCGCATAATTGCAGCAATTAAGACTTCTGCGACCCGTTCCGCATGTATTCTGCCAATCCCAGGACGCCTACATTGCAATGGGGCTGTTCTGCAAAGGGATCTAAGTCGCACCATGAGTCCTGCATGCTCTCGGCAATGGCTGCCGCAAACTTCGGATTGCAGTCTTGGAAGAAACTGCACAAATGCCGAACCTTGGGAGGGACAATTGCGGAGTATTGGGGATCCTACATCCACTCCCAGACAAGGAAGTCTAGCAGCGCCCCTCAACTTCTAGCAGGCAATCTTTCTGACCCTGTACTGCTCTAGCCGGAGCAGAAGCCGTTAACGCAGGGAAGCCCTCGCGTTATGAGCCACCTGGGGCCAGAGCCCGGCCGCCGTTGCGATGCTCAAGGGACAAGCGGTTGCGGGTTGCCTGAGAATCGAACAAGAAGAAGACCAAGCAATAGCTATGGACAATTTCGAACATCAACTAAAATAGAAAGGAATAGCCTTCTACGAACTCAAGAACACAAAGAATGTCAGCACAAACAAACTGTCGGATAAAAACACAACACAAAACAGCCGTGATAATGTTAGCAACAATGATAACAGCAACATACTTAGAATCTGCACCCTGATCTTTTCTTGAGTCTCAGCGCTGCACCACTACCAGGCAGCTTTTTCTGAGAGTGTGCCCCTGCTCTCTCTTTCTGTGCATCTTCAACTAGATGATTGCTGGATCCCGTACAAGGAATTTAGGAAAAGGCGGGCGAGGGAACGAATACCTTAGCCAGAGACGATAAGGCTGAAACCGGAGGCATCTACCTAAACTAACTTTGTTAAATGCTGCTGTTGCCACTCGTTCCCCAGCTTCCTTCTGAGGACTGTGAACCAAAGTATGATCGAGAATTGCGCAAGTGAACTGCCACCTACTTGAATCCAGCTCCACGTTTGCGACCACCCAACTGATCTTGAGGGGGACGCTGCCAGCTCTTCAAAGCGTGAGATCTCCTGCAGCTTGCAACGATGGCTGCAACTCTGACCGCAGGGGGTAGCAATTCATGTTGCAAGGGTTTCGTGAATACAAAGATGTCAGGAACCACCATAGTAGCCTGTGCTCAGAGCCGGGGTCACGACTAGGCGCTGCCCACAAGAAAGCACAGCTGATATCCATAGAAGCTGTCACAATTCATCAAAAGCCAAGATACTTGCAAGCAATATCGCCCGCTTTCTTAGCGTAGTGAGAGGTTTAAGTCCGCGCGTCACAGCTGTATCGAGCTTTCGCCACCCCAAGTCCTCCGGAAATTCATTGATGGCCTCTTCCAAAGACTTTCGTGAAAGAAGGCGCACCTTATGAGCCAACGAAAAACGGATTGTTTTGGGAGATCCCTCCTCTGATTCAGGACCCTAACCTTTTGGGGCATAGGGCTGGGGCCCTCCCTAATTGGAAACACCCTTTGCAAACATTGCAACAGAAACCCTAGAGGAATGCAATCCTTGTATAGTATATTCCATTCTTCCCTACTATATCCCCAAAATATACCCTATTACAAAGTAGTAGTTTCAATTTTCTTTTCCATTCTCTATAAATGACCCCAAAAGATTCCTCATATATTCCCTTCTCATACCCTTCAAGCAATCGGCAAGTACAAGAGCCCGACGTCGCAAAGGGTCTTTGCGATGATGGTGGCTGATCGCTTCTTGACCTTTTTCCAGGATTTGGGGGCTTCCCAAAATGTGGGATCCCCATTCGAGGTCCCTATAATAAGGATTAAAATATTTTGATGTTCATATTGGGGTCCCCTAATTATGGAAACTACCATTTCAGATTCTGTAGTGAATAGCCCTGAGGAACCGTACATTGCACCTCAAGAGTTCATGAGAAGGACGCATAGTTGCACCTGCTGCAATGTCAAACCCCCTTGCTGGTGCATAATTACTAGAAGTATTACTACTATTGGGGCTTAGTGACGAAGTCTGATACCATCCTACCACTTGCCTCAAAAGCTTGCACTGCAGCAAGCTCACACTCAATCTGGCACTCTGTCCCAAACACCTGAAAAACCTTATGCCAGGTACATGCCATCCAGTAGCAATCACCCTGCTGCAAGCGATTTCCCAGACATCCACGCATCTGCAAACTCTCCAGACCCTCACAGCTGTCTATCTGTGCAAAGCACCACATGCCAGGCTTCTCAAATGTGCATCCGATGGTTGGCATACAAAATATACGTATATTACTTATTACTCACTCTGAAAAGGGCCCTGGCCCTGCAACAGGCTGCTATGCAGATTCCATACAATGCCAAATCACATTTAATGAAATTCCCCAGAATCAAGGCTTCTTCACCCTGCATATCCACAAACATGCCGAAGGTCCTGAGGAGACCGCCAAGCCAAGCACGGCCATCTCTCCAAAGAACATCCTCTGCATGAAGTAGCAGTGAATGCAGCAGTAGCAGCAGCAACAGCAGAAGCCGCAGCTTGCCGATGGAGGTGGCTGCTGCCACCACCTCCTGCTGCCGCTGCTGGTGCTGGTGCTGAAGCCTGTCATTTCAAACTCGTTTGCTGAGGTTGCGGCCCACCTTCCAGCTTCCCGACCGTAATGCCCTTAACCTCGTAGCACGAAGACATACGGTTTAGGTTTCTGGGTTCTGGGTGGCTTGGGTAATTATGCTGTAACAGAACATGCCTCCTGTTTGTTCGTCGCCCAATGATAAGTAGAAACCCTGACATGTTGGCATGCGCCAGACTCTCATGCAACAGCTGTTGTTAGAAGGCTCTGGAGCGACAAAGCGAGCGAGGATTAATGACAAAACGTAGGACCTTAGAAAGTCCAGGTTTACCTTGTACAGATTCCCTTCCCTGGGCAGACCCCTCATGAGGTGCCCTACTTTCATGTCTACACTACGGCAACTCTAGCCACTGCTTCGCATGGAATTTGTGCAAACAGTAACCTGGTCCAACAAAACAGCCAAGAGTCAACCCTCCCAATGTGCTCTGCCATAGTACGCTAGTTCCCATACATCAAAAAGTTTAGTATCGATGCCAAGACACAAATATTCCCCAAAAAAGAGAACCCTCCTTTTTGAACAGACCCATATTCTTGAAGCCCTCGGGCCCTCAGACAAGAGTCGGAGCGGAGCCTGATCTCAGCAGCAAGCCTTCACTTCCATCGTGCCACTGTACAGGATGTACATGTCCTGAGCCCATCAAGCCAGTGGTGCATCGAGCCAGTGTTGCGGTAGTGGTAGTGATAGTAGTAGCAGTAGTATGAGGGCACGGGTGACAGCTCAGTTGGGATTCTCGGGCTGCAGGTTTCCAGAAGACCCGCGCTCTTCCAGTTTTACCGGTCATCTGGACTTCATGTAGAAAGAGGCCTTGGACGGGATCATGTCTCCGTTCGTTGCTAGACACCACGTGGAAACACGGGATCTTTGCTGAATCACCGGGAAGCTGCTATGAATCCAGCATCCTCCCAAGAAAAGTCCATCAAACCGCTACGCGTCCTCGCCCTCCGTGTTCTCGACGACAACGGTCTCATCACCTGCTTCGCGGTTCGAGCTCCACATGCATGGATGCCGGTTCCATCAATCAACAGTGTACAGAGAGCTCCGCGTGGACATGGGCCAAAGCTAGGATGCCGGTTTGGGTCCTAACACTAATTCCCAAGGAAACTGGGACATCCTGATCCTTTGCTCTCCTGACTTGATGGGTGAACCAAATGTCCCAAGGCCACCAAGCAGCTGAAGAAGATGTGGCGCTCCAGGTGCAAGTCCAGCAGGTAGAGAAACCTTGCTTCTGCCCTAGGCATTTGCCAAAACACATTTTGTCTACAATCGTAATTGGACGTGGATAGCGGCCATAACTCGGTTGTATCTTGGAGCATTTGCCTACCTAGCCTTACCTCCGGAATACATACTCGGGAAAGTATGGAATATGGTAATATACTATATTTTTAGATTATGTAGGGATAATATTCCCTATTCCCCTTCTAACCAGCGTTAAGATTACCTTTGTTACTGCGACGAAAGATGCTTGCTTTGAAGCTTTGGCCGTGAAAAAGCTTTGCCGTATCAGTCTAGGAGTCTTCTGGCTAGCTTGCCTTACGGGCTTTTGCTGGCGTAGCTCCAAAGCACTGCCAGCCCTTGAGACACTCTGCGGAGTCCAAAGCACAGGCCACATACCAGCTTACATCAGCGCAGTACTCACCAAGAACAGGGCTAGCAAGGCTTGTTGATCAACGGAGCTGCAGTCAAGGATTGCTGGCTTCAACCTAAAGAGCACCCATACCGGATAGCCATCACTCCCTTTTCCTTCTGGGCCATTCTGGCTCAACCACCCTAATTTCTGAACCTCGCTCTAATCCCTAAACCTATCGGAACCGTAAATCATGAAATTCAGCAAATGATGCTACGAGAGCTACCTGCAAAATGCGTACTGTCACATGGAGGGGGAGCTATCTCGTGCCTGCCTCCCTTCAAAAACTGCACCGAGTTGTGGACCGGCTGCTACAATCCTTGAAGCAAGACCTCAGACATGGCAAAGGGGATTGCAATCAGTACTAAACAATAAGGCTACTAAAAATAATGATAGTAATAAATGTCATAATCTTAATAGTCACGACGAGGCAAACTTGCAGGTTGGCTTATCGGCACAGGTTTTGGTCAAGTCCAGGAGGTTCAGGAATGGGATATAGGATGATTTTGGATATGAGGGATTCAGGCAAGAACACGGTAAGACTTTCCCTGTCACGCTGACTGTCAGACTCGAAACGAAGTAAACGCCTGCTCCCTGTGGCAGATGCAGGGTACCCGGCATCCTGTAGATGTTCCAAGACTGTCCGCCAGCCTCTGATCAGGGGGTCAACGCCCATTCAAGCTTTGCGTCATCTGGCATGCTAAACTGCCTTCGCCGGTTTGCTGTTTGCTGGAATCCCAAGGTGTAGCCCGTCGTTCAAGTGTCCATAGACACAGGGACAGACAGAGAGAGAGAGAGAGAGAGAGAGACTGGCTATCTACGAGGGCCTTTCTCTCCTGCCCTCTGTGAACTCATCTGTCGGAATTGTAGTCATGTTGAGCTAGCAATCCGTGGCCAAGCATCAGTGCCCATGCTACTCACATTGCATACCTTGCGACCCCATCCTCAAGCCTCTGATGACAAAGCCTCGCGCAAATATCCCCCCGCAAATCATGCTCATTTGGTGACGCCCGCCAAGCTGCAAATTCCCACACGCCAGACCTTGCGGAACAATCGGAAGACAATGACTTCACACTGCACGTCCAACACGCGCAGCCTTCACCCCAAACTCGCAACCTTCGAACACCAAACCTCAAACTCCAACCCTACAGCACCATGAACATCAAAGCCCTCAACTCCTAAGCTAAATCACACCGGCCCCAGGAAAGTATGCTCCAGGAGAGTATGCTCGCCTCAAAGACGCCCTCCCGTGACCTGCGGCTGAAAACCCAAGGCACTCTGACACATCCAGAAGTTCTTCCCAGCTGGGTACCAGTAAACGGAATCACTTCTCCAAGGCTCCATATTCGGGACCCTCACAGGCTTTGCGAGTGCATGCCGCTTCGTGAACAATGACTACTCGACTTATGATTGTCGACGATGTCGTGATAATGCTGGCTATCACCTTCAAACTGGCCATACCGCTAGTGCACATTTGCGACTAGTACAGCTTCAAATTTTGCGACTGGTCTTATTGCTGGCAGTGTACAAAACGATCATGTATCCGACCTCTTTAAGTACGTTGTGCGCAGGAAACAGGAGCCGGTGGCCCTGCGCATCCCTACAAGCTTCCTGGACTGTTCCCCCTCTAATCCTTCTCCTGTTCAATGCGGAAGTTTACTGCTTCTTAGTAAGGGAATGGAAATAAAATCCTTATGTAATCCCTGTAGAATATGTTCCCTACTAAAAGCCAGTAAGGAAGGAGGGCCCCCACCAGTGTCGCCAAAGCCATGTCACAGATTTGGGATTTCATGCCCAAGGTTTTGGAGTTCATTGCTCATGGTTTGGAGTTTAGAGTCCAATGCCTAGGCTTTCAGCCGCTTATGACTCAGGACCAAGATATGTCCCAACTCCCTAGCCCTAGATGACAGCATACTCCCCACAATCCCATCGAAATCACTGGTATACATCCGGTTGAGGAGCTTCTAAAAACTACATTGGCCACTCTCTAAAAACGACAGAGAGGGCTCATTTCAGGGATTCCTATCTAGAAGGCGTGGGATCTAGCCTGTGCTAATCTGCTTCTTTAGGGTACAAAAAAAAACCGGAATGTCGTATGCATGAGCACTACAATTTTCAAACCTCGATCTCACGCTCTGCCAACCATGAACGCCGGGGAAGCGCAGCTCATTCGATCGCATCCCCTCTCCCAACCTCAATGCGACAAATCAGAAAGCAATAGTCCCCAAACCCAAAACTGCCAAAAACTTGCAAATGCGAGTCTTTTCAGGAGCAATCCCACCCAAAATCCTGATCCCCACCTTTCGACGCATAGGCCTCACTGCGAAGCTAAGTCGACATGGTAATTTCCCAAAATCGGGGACCCCAAAATCAACCCCAACTCATTGAAATCCGTATTACACGGACCCATTTTGGGAGAGCCCCACATGTCATCCCAAACAACCTTCTGCACGAGCCCCATCATCCTGATTGCTCAACTTCTCACTGGGTCTTCCCAACCCATACTCCCTATATGGAGACCCCAAGCTTGGGAAACCGAAGCTTACTAAAGGAGTTTTCATTTTATCTTCCATTATTATCCCTATATTATCCCTATATAACCCCAACATACTATCGTAGTTTCCATTTTCTTTTCCATTATCCCTGTATTACCCCTACATCCCCAATAGCACTTTCCTCAAAAACATTGTAGGGCTGAAGGCCTCCTTGAAATCGCTTCGAACTGTGCCTTGGCCTTTCAAGAAAGAGACACTCCAGGGCTGATGTCGCGGTGAGAAGTAGTAATACCAACAACAGTAATAAAACAATAATGGTAGGAACCGTAGTACTGATATGAGTAACACAATATTAATCATAGCAATAATTGAAATAATAGTAATCATACGTTACAAGTCATAAATGATAGTAATAATCGTGCGCCAAAAACGTGGTTTTCGCTTGTGGTTACAAAACAATTCAACGAGGAGATGTTATCAGCGTGTGAAGGCATGCAACGATCCATGCTATGAGGGCACTGAAAGGTTAACCCTTTTGAACATGTGGTAGTTTCCCAAAATAGGGGGACCAATATAGACCCCAAAATACTATAGTCCTTATTATGGGGACCCCCAAAAGGGTACCCCTAATTTTAGGAAACCCCCCATGTGTAGAAACCTGCCACATTGAGAAGACGTCTGAGTCACTGTACCAACTCTTTGGTCGGGTTTAGGCTTCCCCTTAGCGGGTGACATTATGATCCCAGTGCCATCATACTGAAGCAGACATTCACGATGAACTACCACATCTAATGAGATGAAGAGAAGAATGACCAACAGCAATACCTGCCTATGGAGCCAGAGATCAAAATTGTCAGACTCTGAACAGATGCCGGCAACAGCTTGGAACCGGTCGCAATGAAATCCGAACAGCCAGACGACCGTACCACGAATGCCACAGCAAACAAAGCCTCAGGGAAGTGGTCGAAGACGTCTATCATGTTCTTGCGGTGCAAGGCCTCGGCCATTAAGATGGGATGGTTTCCTTGTCAGGAGCTGCCTTCGACTCAACCTGAATCCACGCCGGCTGAGGCTGAGAGTTCAGGATGTCAGCAGCAGCGTTTATGGAAGGCTTAGGGTAGGGGTTGCCGGACTGCCCACGCAGGTTCCTCGCATCAAGGTCCCATGCCCGAGGAAAACCTACGACCTTTGCAAGTCTCCGTCCGTGGGGGCCCAATATGATGATCTGGGAGTTTCTCAACACAAGCCCTATAGAATCCTCCTGAAGCAACATGCATGCACCCAAGACAATAAACACCTACAGCATCCACTCAGGGCTTCCTTGGTCTAAGCCTGGAGCCAGCACCCCACAGGGGGTCTTCGCGGTAAGCGTGTCAGAAGGCCTTGGCGCAAACAGGGGGTCAAAAATTTAACTCTCATTAGGATGTAGAAAGTATGAGATCTAATTCAAATCCGACTTAGAATGCAGCCAGAGCTTTGAATTTTCTGACTTGAAGTGTTGGGCCTTCCAGAAGGACCCCGCAGTGCTTACAACTTGTGCCCGCTGCGGTGCCGATCAGTGCCAATCGTACGCAGCATTCTTCTTTCTGCAAGCCCTGAACCGTCCTCCTCGCTTAATGCAGAAGTTGGGTAATGTGTGCAGATTAATGCTCCTTGAAACAATAAGTCTACACCGTGGTAAACCATGCGAGGCATGGTTCCAAAGAAAATGTTGCAGGATCCGAAAGCAACATTCCAACCCATAGGTTCCCCAATAACCCCAGAATAATCAGGGCACCCTTTTTCCTAATGTTCAGCTTGAATAAGGAGACCCCGCCAAAAGAAGGGGAGGAAGGGTACTACTGGAGTACCTACTAGTCCCTAAACCCTAAACTAAGAGCTGGACCCGTCTTTGTCCGAGAGCAGCCCGGCTTCACCCCAAATGCCCTGGCAGAAGCAGTTTCCAACAAGGGTCATCTCTATGTGAGTAGAGTGAGAGCATCTTACTGGCTAGAGGGGATAAGAGATCATATTACAATAGGGATGATATAGGAATCAAATTCCCTTATTCCCTACTAAGAGCCAGTTAGTCATACATATCTCAGACCGTTTGCATGAAAAGTGCTCATCTTGCCCCTAAGATTCTACCCCATAAGGCACGAGAGGTCACTGACATCATAAGGAATATTCGAAACTCCGCGGAGTCTCTCCAGGGGTAAGCCAGACCCGAAATCTCCCCTAGGGGAAGATCTGGACGCAAAGCTAGGTCCTGCAAGCCTTCATGGAAGATGCTACAGCTGAGGGGGAGAGCTGAGGCCTTCTTGTATGTGTATTATCTCTGTAGTGAAGGGTGTTTTGTAATACGGCACGCGGCAGTTTGGGAGCGAGAAAACAGAGCCTTCATGCCGCAGAAGCTGTCAAGCTGCCGACTTCAGGGGTAACCCCAACATGGCAGCATGGCCCCAACATCAATGATCGATTTCTTGCCCTCAGACAACCTTTGCAGCACAAGGAAGTTCATTAATTGCGGACAGCACAAATATAGAAACCTGTATACTTGCATTTATATCGCAACCGAAAACGTGGGCATATTGGGGTCTGTATTGGAGGCCTCCGTTTTTGGAAACCCCCTGCAACCTGTATAATTTCACAATTTCTTGTCCGTTTGATTCTCCGTTATTGAAGCTGTATCCCTGTTGTATAGGTATTCGTTAAAGATGGGTGAATCTAAAACATTGGTCATACCATTGTATATAGACCAGAAGTGACGCGAACGACCAGCAGCAAGCATCCCCGAGTAGACACAACGACGGTTCGCAGAAAGGTCACTTTGGTTGGTACTCTGAGCGTTGTCAAAACTATGCTTTCGACTTTGCACATCGCTGCAAACAGTACATTACCAAAGTTTTCAACGAAAACAACACGACAGCAGAATGAAGATGCTGATAGTACCAGCGATACTGCTGGGCTTCTGGTGCACAGCCCTATCCAATCTAGGCGTACTGCCGACGCACCCTGGACAATCAATGTCTGATCTTCTTGTCAAATCCCTAAACCCCCCAAACCCTGAACCCTGAACCCTAGACCCTTCGCCATCTCAGACCGGAACCGCTCAATTTGGCCTTCGCAGACCAGGTAGAGGACATCTGCGGGCTGATCCTGGAAACAAAGCTCAGGTGGAAAGTATGAGTTAGGTGGATCCCCACCCTGTAGCAGTGGTATAACAAGGACATAATAAGACCCTTTCATAATCACCATTATCCCTTCTAGTCAATATTACTGGGTGAGGGGTCCACCTGAAGTATGGGAGAAGAGGACACCGGTACCGTGGATGGAGGAAATCATGCACACATGGCCACCAGAGTACTATACCTCGCAGGTACCATGTGTACAGGGTGCGGCAACATTTCCTGCATTCACTGTACTTCCAGACATGGGGGCCCCCCATATATGTATATATCCAAGAAGAATTGCATCCCTTCCTGTAGCACAGCTCCTAAACAGAAACCCAAGTGAAATCTCAGGTCTAGAGGGGAAGCTGTCTCAGTATGGTAATCACGGCCAATGCAAGCTGAAATAAGATGACATGAGGTACCCAAAAAGGTTATCATGTTTTCAGAAAACCTCCACTTTGCCACCCCAAAACCCAATGCTGGCAACCCTAAAGGGGCCAACACGCGATGTCTGCTTTGCGAACATGTCTCAAAGATATGGGGCTTTCCTAAAATTAGGGATCCCCCTATGTTTGGTTTTTTTGCGTGTACACATGTGGTAGATTCCCTCCAATGTACACCCCCCCACAATACTATAATCCGTATAATCTCCTAATTTTGGGCCCCCCTGTCACTCCAACCCCTCTGGCAGCCCAGCCTTGTGCTGTACTACCTCATCTGGAAAGAAGAGCCTTACCTCGGGATTGAGGGAAGGAGTCGACTGATCTCAGACCAAAATTGCGGAGTTCAGGGTTTTCTGAATTGTATTTGCAATGTAGCAGATCACTACTAATCATGAATCCTGCTGATAATTTCTAGGAAGAAACCTCACAACAGAGAAATATTGCTAAGTAACAGCGGCGACTGCAAAAGCAGCTGTATTGATCCGATAACAGAAACAACAGCCATCGCAGCGCAACAGCTACGAATCTGACTTCTGCACCAAAACTGGCCCCAATCCCTGGCAGTCCCGTGCTATGGGATGCCCATGAACGCAAACTCTCTACCTCCAACCGTGTATTTTGCTATAGAAGCTGCCACACCCCAAACCCTGAATAGTTGGACAGACAGTTTCCACATGTGCGCCACATAGACACGAAACCTGAATGCCCCCAAATAACTCCAGCGTAATCACTATCCAACATCCGGTATCCCAAGCCTAGGACACCATGCATCCGAATCTATGTGTCATGTATTTGGCCCTGGGGGCTGCGCGGCCCCAAGCTCCTAGCAAGCCCCATGCAGCCCATGAAACAAAAGGGCACAGCAATGCAGGCCCGTAACAATGGCACCTTTTTATGGGATGCGGGCCAGGGTAGGGTTGGGCGCCCCTTTTGGTTGTGTTTCCGCGCAATTTTTATGGGCCTGCATTGCTGCGCCCCTTTGGCTGCGCCATGTTTATGGGCTGCATTGCTCCGACCCTTTGGCTGCATCTCTGCGCCACCTCAAAACCCCAAGATGCAGGAATTGACACCAGGGTACGCCACACCTTTTCGGGTCAGAATAGAGAACCTAAAAACCGACCACTGGACACGCAATAGTTTTTGACCCCTTTTGACCAGCTTCAGCCACAGGCTTCGTTGAGCTTTACAAGTACATGTGTACCTGCTGTGCGGGCATATATGCCTGTGAATCCCCATGTAACCTTTGGAACAGCCCCGGCAGACGCCTCCATGGACTGATGCACTGCCTTTGCGAATTCGGGAGGCCTCGGGAAGATGTGCTGCAGGGTTCGGTGCTTTGGGCTTCGGGCTTGTGACGGCTCAGTCTTTGAGGCTAAGGGTTTGGGGTTACCGCTAAAGTCGAAATCTGGGATTAAGGGTTTCTGCTCAACTCTTCTACTGCCAAAATCTACAGCAGCAACACCTTCGGCGCCGCCATGAACATGGTCATCCTCTGCACCATCATCAGCACCACTATCATCACTGCCATCCTTCTGAGAGGTGCAGATTACGCAAAACCGCGACATCATGTTTCTGATCCGCCAGCTGGCTGATATGGAAAGTTTACCCCATTGCGGCAGAAAGACTACAAGGAAACGATGATCTGAAGGTCTTCCTTATTGGAGGTTCTATACTGACTTTTTTGAGAAGCTGCCATCCAATAATTGGAGAGGGGTATGAAGGTTCGGTTAGGGTCTAGGATTGGGCCCTGCCCTACTTCCCACCGTCAAAACCGAGTTGGTGTCACACATGCTACGGTCACCCTTAAGCAGATAGAATATGGTGTATATGGGGATCTTGTTACAATATACCCAAGCCCATATTCTATCTACTTAAGGGGGACTATACCTCTACAAAACCCCACGCATTTCAGAGAGACGAAACCAATCCCCAAGCCCGAAAACCCGAATAGTACTGGTAATAGTAGTGGTAATGGTAATGCTAATAGTACTGGGTTTAGGGTTCAAGGTTTAGGGTTTAGGGTTCATAGTAGTGGTAATGGTAATGGCAATAGTACTGGTAACTCTGATTTTACTTTGGGGCGCGGCATCTCATCGTTGATGAAAGCCGAGTCCTTGAGCATCTCGATCTGCCGATCTGCAGCACCATCCTGTGACGATTTCGGATTCTACACGCTCCATGGAATCCCGTTATGATGCCTTTGTTGGGGTCTCGGTCCCCATCTGACAGAGATTCAGTGAAGCTTTGCTGTAGGATTGCTGGAAGGTTCAGCCAGAGCAGTGCGGAAATTCAAGGGTTCAGGGTTTAGAGATGAAGGGTTTTGGCTGGCGAGTACAATGTAGCTAGAGCGTGTAAGGATTGCGCGATGAACAGAGAGCTTGTTCGTCACATCTGCCGGTCTGCATCTCAGTTTGAAACCACTTTGCCTGTCCAATCCTGCCAACAAAGGTGCAGGCCCGGGTAGACCAAGGCCATGGTGGATATATTGAGATACTAGAAAAAGAAAATGGAAACTACTGTACTGTTATAGGGGTTATACAGGGATAGTGGTAAAGAAAATGGAAACTATTATTTAGAGTTTAGGGTCCAGCTTCAACACTTTAATAGTCTGCAAGTCCAGGCATGTTCTCGAGAGGCTGTCCTTACGAGGGTTGTTATCAATATCAGCATGTCCGCTGCCTGAGACTGCAGGAAGCCTGTTGCCAGCCAGCATTACTTTGATCATGCTACATACACCTTCCGAAGAACAGGGCCGTGACATACCCCAAGACTTATACTAGGGACTCTCAAAATCGCAACCATAATTCTGGGGACTCGCACACGTCTTCCCGTACTGACACCGAAGGAGTCGTTGGTTCCGTTCCTGCTCTTACTGGCCTCACTACATCTCTTTAAAACATGGATCACCATAGAAGACAGGACCCCCAAGTTTCAAAAACCCCGACATGCTACTTCTAGCGTGGATGACGGTTCTCCATCTGTTTCCTTGCGACTAGCATATGGCTCTTGGATTAATCACTTTATGAAAATTGCTTTGGATCGATGTAGACTGGTTTCCTGAAACTGAAGCTTTGAACTTGAGCACCTCCAGCGACAAATTTTTCATGTCAGAGCAAATTCGGAAAGCATGCAGTCGCATGTTCAGCATCACCTTGTGTGTCATGACCCCTGGCTGCCTGCTTCCAGATGTTTCTCATCTTCAGCAGGTCTCTCCACTTGGATCGTGCGACGGGATGCCTGGCTGCCGCAGTGTGCGGGGTCATACTCAGACTTGGCGGCAAAGGACTTTGCAAGTGTAAACACGCAGAAATGGTATGGTTGATGTGGGATATTGAGGTTCGAACCTTCTTCGGCTCCAACTTGCTCTCAGCTTGCAGAACACGTCAGACTTCTGGAACCCTCGACCACAAGCCCCAAAACCTCGTGCGCAACATCCTAGAGCCCTACGAGAACTCTTCAGCAAGCGATCCTGAATCCGAAGCCTCTAGCCTAATCAAATCCATTTGAGTAGCTTTGGTGGTTGAACCAAGATTGAACTCCTCGTATACAATACCATACCCCAAAAGGAGGATATAATCTTACTCTTTGTTGGGAATCTGAGTCCGACTCATGGACAAAGGCACTACCCTCCTCCAAACCAACATGGAACCTCACCTAGGGCTCTGGAAAGATCCATCTCTATACATTCCTATAAGCCCTCTAAATAACGCTCTACACACATATGTCCTTCATCCCCATAGAGTATGAGGCCCCCACTTGGACAAATGCATCTCCACGTCTTGCTTCTTGAGCTCCTTTCCGCTCGAATCGGGGATGCTCCGAAGGATGAGGAGATCCTACTCACCACCTAAGAATACTATAGTACATCGGGTTTAAATAGGGACAATGGAAAAGAACATGGAGACTATTTTAGTATATGGGCGTTATATAGGGACAATGGAAAAGACAATGGAAACTACTCTGGTGCAATAGTGACTGCAAGGAGAATAAGAGGAATAGTAATCTCCAATTCACCTCCCCTTCTTGGGGGTAACCAAATTTCAGAAATCCAAAAGAAGACCGGAATGGAAAATGAGAATACCTTGGCGTCATGTGGTAGTTTCCCATACTAAGGGGGCCCCGATATAGACCCCCAAATACTACAGTTCTGATTATGTGGACCTCCAAAAGCAACCTGAATCTTTAAGAAAACCCAAACCCTGTATACCGACCCCTATATCACCCATATATACCCTACATAAGCCCGATATAGCCCCTCAATAACCCTTATTCCATCAAATTCTGGGAAAGCTCCATGGCATTGAGGCTTGGCCTCGCACTCGACCTCCCTCTGATTTTGAGCCGTAGTCTAAGCTCCTAACTAATATCCCTCTCATTAGACACTAGGGTTTAGGGGATGGGTTTTGTGGTTTGGGGTCTAAACGCCTCCCCTTTAAGGAGGAGGTTCTATTCTGGCTCAGCTTACGTTTTCCGATAGTAGGCCAAGTACAGCCAGGAACGCATGCGGGCTGTTGGTATGACGAAAAATTTTGTTAAACATGACCTTATGCCTAGCCTTGTTCATCAGGCATGATTGGTGCTTTCTTAACTGACTACTTTGCTGCATTGTCTGTTGCGAGATGGCATTGGGATGGCTGGAGTTGTTGGCTTGTTCTGTTCAGTGAGCAGTCCTGCAGCACGCAGAACTCCGATGAAACAATGACTGTGCCGGTCATCTTCTGCACAGAGAGCAGATTGAGTTCACCTAAGTCCAGCTCGGAGCTCGTGGCATGCCCACCTATTGATGCCAGCCATGGTTGGACCAACCGTATGTGAAACCTGGTGCATGCCGCAGACATGGGGCCCATTGCCAATGTTTGCAGCTTCCTTTGCTAAACTCCCCATATTGCATATATTGCAGTCGTTAAAAGTGATGAACTTGAGAGGGCCGATCATGGATCGAAAACATCAACCAACTCACAAACCGACCTTAGGCACCCTCAACTCCAATCCAACAAATTTGACAAAAGCTGGTACATCCCGAACTCAGTAGTAACTAAGATTTTAACAACATGCAACAGAATGATTACATATGGGTGTCAACTACGATGGCAACCGCTGTCCTGATACTGGTACTGCAGATGATCGTTCGTCATAGTAACGCAACCATGACGCCAGTCATCTGTGGGTCATCTTGACAGAGCCCATGATCAGCGGGGAACTTCTCAGAATCAGGAGCCCGTATTTCCAATAGATGAAAGCTCGAGTATAGTAACGCACGCAACCAGGGCCAAGCCCTACCCCAACGAATTTCTCCCCCCCGCGATTTAAGCGATTTGAACTTCTGAGGCGGCAGCCTACACTCTGCCCAGCCCGGAGCTCTCGGACCTGGCAAAATCACAGCTGATTCCTCCATTTTGGAACTAACGGCGTTTCCTGTACAGGGGTAAGCAGTAGGAAACATGGTGCTCCGTGACAGTGATGCAAAAGTCCTGGTCTAGTCATCTTGCTCCTACTACTCTTCCTTCGAACACCATTGGTGCTACAACGACCGCGGCTGCTGCAGCTGCTGTGGCACCTTGTGCCCTCTGAAGATGACATCGGCAAGCCCCTGCTGCAGGAAAACCAGCCTCGGACTCCAGTTATGACATGATGGTTCTGAGCTGACTTCCGACTTGTTAACGAATTCACATGGCAAGTGAGAGACTGGTGAAAGCATTTCCTTTGCAATACTGTTATAAGCCAGGCAAGCCCCAACAGGTGGCCAGACATCAGGCATTGCGTGCAGTTGCTCTGGCGTTTGAGAATCCGGCGTCTCAAACAAGTCCTGGCAGGTCATGCGAACCCGACCGAGGTTGGTTTATACGATGATTGCACGTTTGGGGGGACCTCCCGTGGCATCCACAATGCAGGTTAACTAAACCAAACACAAATCAGCTTCAAATTGATGATTCAACCCCAGAAACCTCCTAGGTGAGCTCTGTGTGTATGCACATGTCTAAATCTAGTAACCAGGAACAACTAGCATCTTAGGAGTAGAGGCGGGGGAAGGGGTCCACTTATGTCCACTGTTAGTCCCACCAAGCATGAGGCAAACAAGCACTGTTTGTCACCTATCTTATGTAATGTGTCCTTCCCAGATGAGGCATGCAGCAAGCTATACCCTCCTTTACTTTCACCATGGAAGCTTGCTTAAGGATTCGATGATATCGAGCAGATGATTCAACATCCCCCTCCCTGCTGGGGAAGCCTTCGCCGTGATGGCATCCATGCCTGGTGGCACGACCTCAAATGTTCATGGCTCCACAGCTTCTGCTGCATTCCTCTACCACGAGAGATTGTGAAGGTCGCTATTGCCTCAGGTCCTCATGGGGAGTCCTGTTTCTGTTTCAGTTCGGCTCACTCAAAATGGGGGCGATCTGTGCCTGAAACTCCTACGCTCAATTCTGGACTTTTGAAACGTGTTACCCTGACTCAGAAGCCTTTTCATGGTTCTTCCGTCACGCAAGATTACCTGCAAGTCAACCACAGACAACTCAGCCACTGGCTCGTTGCCGAATGCTTCCTAGCAGCACAGACTGAACTCCAGCAAAGAAGTACCAAGTACGATTCCATCTCGCCTGACATGTAGGAAAAAACATCACTTCACTCGTTCTCACTGTTGAAGACAACAGGAACAGAAAATCTTAGACCCAAAAGGCTCTGAGACAAGGTCGCTCAATTATTCTTGTAACTTGTATGATCCCCTCCCCCCAGATGATCAAACCACTGGGTAAGTATACCAATGTGGTGCAATCATGGAATAGGGAAAAACACTAAACCCGAAGTTTCCATGCTCTTCTCAATGCACATATGACAATATGGTCCCTGTTAGGGGGTGTGGAGGTTCATTATGAGGGTTAGGGGATCATTCTTGCTGTTGCTTTGCTACCAGTAGGGCCTTCTTGGATGTTGTCCTCAAATGGAGCATGAACCCTGAACCCTAAATTTCAAACCATAAATCCCTAAACCCTAAACCCTACCTTTAGGGATTTATAGGGATGAGGTGGAATCATCTAGGTTTTAAGGCCTTTGGATTGGGAGCCGCAGCAAAGGGCCTGGCTTATGCCTCAAGAGTTAACAAAGAACAGAAGCAAAACTTCAAAATAGTGTTCCAACTAGGGCTCCTTTATCCCGCAACACTAACCCTGACCACTAGGATCCATCCATGTCCGTGCGTAATTGCTTAAGGATCATCAGGACAGGGATACATGGGGGTTTTGGGGGTCTCCATAATGAGGACTATAATAGTTTTTCGATCCATGTTGGGGTCCCCCTATGTAGGGAAACTACCACATCCCAACAGCACCATCCAGCAAACTGGAGGAAAGCTCCAACACCCAAAGCACTCTTTTGGGGCTTAGCCCCGCTGTTCTTCGCGACCCTACACCCGCCTGCTAAGGCGCGAAAGAACACCTGAGAGCCTTCCAAGAACTGCAGGATCCTTAGAGGATGGAGTAATACTGGGGTAATGTTGGGGTTAAATTGGGGTAATATTGGGGATAATGGAAAATAAAATGGAAACTACTATATTGAGGGTCTAGGCTTGAGGGTTTAGGGTTGTTGTTTTTTATAGAAACCTTTCTCCAGGGTTTAGGGTCTACGGCTCAGGGTTTAAGGTTGAGGGTTGAGGGTTTAGGGTTTGGGGCTCAGGGTGTAGAATGTTTAGGGTAGGGCAAAGACTTCCTTCCTCATTCAAAGACTCATCTGCCTAGCATGTTAAGATCTCCTTTAATTCTGTTGTGAAGATGTTTATAGGGATTGGACATACATGGAGTTGTATAAATTCCTGAGGGCGAGAGCGGGCGGAGAATACGTCAAGCGTTGTCGTCGCCAGCCCTCGCAACCCACTATCAAAGCGGGAGGCTCGACTTTGTCGCTTTTGTCGTCAAACCCCTCGCCTCCCCCTGTCACAGTGGAAGACTCGGGGCTTTGTCGTCTTTATTGTCGAAACTGCCTCCCAGTATTCCCACTATCACACTTGGAGACTGCCCAGAAGAGCGAAATCAGTGAATGGCATACAAGATTTCTTGGGTTCACCATTCCACCGGAGCCAACAACACACACAAAATAAATCCTGCTTACAGCCACAGGCCCCGGAAGTCTTATCCTGCAAAGTGAACTGGTGCAAATAAATCTTGAGAGATTTCATTTTGCCGCATTGGGGAAATCGGGGCAATATAGGGATAATGAACAAGAAAATGGAAACTACTATAGTA